GACTCCCTGCGAGGCCCGTGTGAGCTGTTCCCTGTGGATGTGGAGTCCAGAACCCACTGCTGCGGATGAGCCAGGCTCCCTCCAGGCTGGGGGCCTGGCTGGACCTCAGAGGCTGGGGAGTCCTGCAGGGAAGCACTTCCTCTGAAAGGGAAGTAGGGGAAATAATGGTCCAAGGTGGATGCCACACAGGACTCATCAAAAGTGCCAGGATACCAGGTGGGGGAAGAGGGTGGGAAGGGATAAATTGGGAGTTAGAAATTTGCAGGTACTATTGTTTATAAAATAGATAAACAATAAGTTTCTCCTGTTTAGCACAGGGAACTATATTCAATATTTTACAGTAACCTATAACGACAAAGAATATGAAATACATGAGATATATATATGTATTTGTAAGACTGAAAACCAGTGTAATGATGTAATGCTGTACACCAGAAATTGACACAGCATTGTAAACTGACTATACTTCAATTTAAAAAATAATAAATTTTTTTAAAAATGTGACAGGAGGTGAGGCCACTTGGACACTCCGGAGTCCGGGGAGAGGGGCCAGAGGAAGGGCTGGGAACATCCTTGGGGATTGGGGCCCTGACCAGTCAGCTCATCTGCTCCCCCTCCGTCCCTCCCTGGTGACCATGGGAGTATGAGGCCCTGGGGGGCTTGGCCCCACTGGCCCCACAGCATGCCGTCCCCTCCAGGACTCATCTTGGCCCTCCCTGCAGCTTCTCCTAAGGACAGGAGTCCCTGGCTCCTGCCACCTCCTCTCTCCAGAGCCCTGCCTCCTCTCTCTATTCCTCTGCCCTCTAAGCCCACTGGCTTTTGGCTCCTGAGACAGGCCTCCTGCCACCTGCTGCGGGTCTCAACCACAAAGGCCCTTCTTTCTTTGTGCCTGGTGACTTCTGCTGACCCTCCGGGCCTCATCCACAGGGAGCCTTTCCTGCCCCAGCCCCACTGGTCATGACTTGGGTGGCCAGGTCTTCCTGTTCCTCACTCATATGGCTCTTTCCACAGAGCTTCGCGTCATTGTAATTATCCGTGTACTTCTGTGGTTGAGTCTGATTAGGCTCCAGCACCTCGCGGGCCTGTGAGAGCCACATAGAGAAGACAGGTGCCTGTTCTGTTGCTCACTGGAGCCCCAGCGCCTAACCCACCACCTGGCAGGGCCTTCATACTTATTTGCGGAACAGGAGCATCTGTGACCTTGCCAGTCACAGCTACCAGGTCAGAGGGTGGACTTGTGTCTGTGTATCTATTAGGAACTGGCCCCTCCAGTCAAGGGTGTTGCTGTCCCCGGGCCAGGCCAGCCCTGGGTTAGGGGATGCTGTTGCAGGCCTGGCCCTGCCAGGCTGAGGCCCAGACCCTGGCATCTTTCAACTATCATACCCAAGAACCTTCCTTCCTGCCCTCCCCTGGCCATCTTGCAACCTCAAGATTCTGCAACCACTTTCATAAGAACCGTCCACCAGCCATGGTGGAGCTGCTGGCCACAGACCTGATTGGATCTCTTTATCTGCCCAGCTACAACGGCCCCCGTGGAGATAGCAGCGGTGGAGCAGGGCTCAGGGCCTGGGGAAGCGGGGGTGGGCTACTCCTGTTCCCAGGAGTTGCTAGAAATTGCGTACTTGGCTCTAATCTCATAACTGAGGTCTATAAGGGGACGGAGCTTGGCTCAAGGTGCAGGGGCTGCACCCTGTGCCAGAGGCCGGGGCAGGCCAGGAGTGTGTGCACATGTGTGTGGGTGTGGGTACGTGTGTGTGAGTGTGTGTACGTGTGTGCTCCAGGGCTGAGGACTCTCTTGAGAGAGGCAGCTCTGAGTGTTCTGCTTTTAGCCAATCCAGGAAGAACTCACAGTGGGCCCTTGGCGAGCTGGCCTGGAAGCCCAGCGCCTCCGTGGCTGCTTGACCTCTCTCATCTGATTGGCTAGTAAAATCAGCAAAGGGCAGGAATGTTCTGGAGGCACTTGAGAGGTGTGCGGTTCCAGCCTGAAGGCCAGCAACCCATCCTTCCCCTCCGTCCTGCCCCACTTGTCAGGTAATGGAGGCCTGGAGGTTCCAGTAGGAGGGTTGTGCTGGCTGTAGAGGGAGCGGGGGGCAGGATCACCACCCTAGCATTTGCCGCCACACTCTGTGCTTTACTAGACTTGCCTGAGTCCTTGCAAAACCCCATGAGGCAGGTCCTGCCGCCTGGAACCTCAGTTGTGTTGCTGAGGTTCAGGGTCCATAATGCGGCTCAGCCAGGAAGGGATCTCAACCTGGGCCTGACTCTGAAATCTGCTTCCTTATCCCCCAGGCTCCCAAGGGCATGGGTGTGACCTGGACAGACAGATGCCTCCTCACACAGGCTGGGAAGGTGCCTCAGGCCTTAGAAAGCCACCCCATGGATGGACCTGGAGGAGAGGCTGATGGGCCACCTCGGCTGCTCTGATTGTCCCCCCAAACCCCCAGAGTGGCAGCCAGTCTGGAGCAGGGGGTGCAGAAGGAGCACAGAAGAGGGCAGGGGCGGGGTCCCAGAGCCTGAGAGGGACGGCTGCACCCTCCCTCAGCCCCCTCAGCCCACACAGTCTCTCACCAGAAAGGGCCCGCATCCATTTTTGCCTCCTGGCTTCCCAGTACTTCTAGAAAGAACAAATGCCCGAGGCCTCTAAGAATTTAGATACCCCATTAATGCAATAGCCTCTTGCCTGGGGCCCTGACAACATAGAAGATTCATAACTGCAAATGATGACTTGAAAGACTGTGTAAGTTTTTCGGTGATGAGTGTGGGGGTCAGTGGTCCCAGCCCCTGGGCAGCGCTGAAGGTGGCTGGAGCCAGCATCCAGTGTCAGGGGCAGAAAATCCACTAGCCCGGGCCCTTTGCGCTAAGTGAGGGCTGCTCTCTCTCCACTCGTCCTGTCCTACCGCCCAGTGCATATTCTGAGATGGTTGTGGCAAGGAGCAGTCAGTTTTGTTGTTGTTTTTAAATTCTACAGAGTTTAGACAAGGAAACCCTCATGGCCTGTATAGGCACCCTCTGCCCTGTCCTGGGTCTGCCCCTGTGCCCATGAGGTGCAGGAGACAGGGCTGTAGGTAAAGATGCAAGCAGGCATCATTGTCCTTGGGTGCCCAGGCTGCCTCCTTTCCTGTTTTCAGCTCTCTCTCCATCCAGATCCTTCAGAAATTGCTGATGGCTCCTATTGGGTCAACCACTGCTGCAGCCACGTGTGTCTCCTAGGAATGCCCTCCTGTCCTTTCTTTCCTTGGTTCAGCCAAAATGAAGTCAGGAACTTTCCCCAAGAACCTCGGGGTAAAGAGAGCAAAGGAGAACAGAAGGATGAATTGTAGACACTCAAGAAATACTTATTTAATGAATGAATAAAACCATGAATATCTAGACATAATTCATGACAAGTTTCTTGGATGGTGCCATTTAAGAGGTGCATTGCTTGCTCCTTTCACAGCAGATATGTTTGGGGTGTGGAGAGTCTGTTCACCTACATGTATATTCTCTGGGGACAATCCTCACCCACAGTCCTTGTTAAAGGAGTGGACCTGGATGGCCACACTTATGGCCCAGGACCTGCACATCCCTCAGCCATGTGGGATTTGGGGTCCAACCTCAGCCAGTCAGATTATTCTCATAGGTTTTGGGATTGGAATCCTGAGAGACTGAGCAAGCTGGCTATGGAAGGCAGAATGAAAAGGTCAGGTTGGTCTTGGGGCTAAGGCTCCCATTAGGGCCATGTACATAGTGACTTCATAAGCAGGAAATGATGAATGGAGGGAGGGAGGAGGAGGGACCAGCTGTGTCGTCCTAACAGTTTCTTATTTCCATAATATTCAACTTCACCTCATTTCAGGGAGAGCTTTACTTCCTAAAAATAAACACCGTCTTTTTATTGAAACGTGTGGGGTTCACAACCCTTACAACTCTAACCATAACCTATTTCTTCTTTCCAACTCTACCTAACAACCTGACCCCAAAGCCCCAGTTTGATAGTGGAGGAAAGATACGATGGGTGTGTGGCATGGAGGTCCTGGCAGAGAGGAAGCAAGGCGCCGCAGTGAATTGGGGGGAAAAGGCCCAGATGGCTGTGAGGAAGACTAAACTAGCAGAAATTAATGTAGGGAGGGAGAGAGGGAAAGAGAAATGGGAACAGAGGTATAGACAGACGTACATAGTTAACAAACCATTACAGAGCACTTTCTATGGATGTTAGAACCCAAATGCATATTTGCAAATATGAATGAATGAATGAGCAAATGAGTGGGTCTTCCCGTTACCATTTGCAAGAAGTATTGAGCCTACAAATGGCGGTGGGTAGGAGGGATAGCAGTAAATGATTAGAGTCTTGAAGATGTGGCCCTGAATTTCTGTCAATTTCCAGTCTTGGTTTTACCCTTGATAACATACTCCCAATTTAAGGCTAAGTCTCAAGGTTCTGCCTTCTCTATCCCTCTGGACAAAGAACAAAAGAGTTATTGGGAAAGGATGTCAAAATAGAAGGAGGTCAAAATTATAGATAGAGATGCTTAGTGCTCAGGGGCTCAACTTGAGTTACCCAGGTCTAGGCGATGGACGTTCATCTGCAGGTCATAATGCCAGGTGATGATTCAATGGCCTTGTCTCTGGAGAGTTCACTAGTTGGTGCTGGAATATACATTCATGAGATATCTTACAGCTGTCCAGAGACACGTACAACCTGCCTTTCAAAGATTCAGTGTGATCTAATGTTGGGAAGACACTTAGAATTCAATAGAGCAACAGTCAAATTTCAGGGCTTCTGTTTCCTTGAGATTTGACCCAGAGTAAATTATTTAATCTCTCTATCTCACTTTCCACAACTGTAAGGTGGGAATAAAGGTGTTTTCCTAATAGAAATTGTCTAGGGGACTCAATAAGGTAACACATAGGGTTTCTAGAACAGTGCCTTCAATAACCAATGGTAATCGCTCTCCTCTGTGTATCCCCTACTCTAAAGACATCCTCCCTTCTTCCAGTCTCTAATACAGCTTTGTACCAGGCATTTTTCAGGCAACAGCTAACACATCATAATGTTAATGAACTTTACATGTGTCTGTGTTTTCCCTTCATCATTCAGCTCTAAGCTCCATCAGTATAAATATGGATCTTTTCACTTATTCGTGCTCTGCAGGGCCCATCCTCGCTGATAGTCAGTAAAAGCACGTGTGTTGACTGCTGGGTGGATGAACGGCTGTAAGAGTGCCTCCCCTCACCGATGTAGGGGTCCCGTACTGGGTGACGTAACAGGACGTATATGGTGTGTGTGCTGAGACAAGAAAAGGGGGAGAGAGATTCTCTGGGTTAAGAAATGGGTGATGGGTATTGTATGAAGGGGACTGAAAGAGCTCTTATGAAGGGAACAAGGATTTTAGAAGAAGTTACTGACTATAAGTATAGAAGACAAAGGAAGAGTGTGAAAAAAGAGAAATAGAATAGACAAGGGGGAAAATAGGGGTAATTAAGAGTAAGAGAGGGAAAGGAAGGGGAATGCAAAGGTAGGGGGCCAGGAACAGGGACCAAGGTGAAGAAGGACGCGGAGGGTGAGAGATAGATGTGACAAGTAAGGGTTAAGTGGCCACCCTCCGCGTCCAGCCTTGTCTCACCTGCCTGACCTGCCTGACCGCTGGTCTGTTGGAGGTCATTTTAATATCATCGTTCTGCTTTCCTTTCACTCCAGTCCATCTTCAACGTCACTGTCAGGGAGACGTTTCTAAACTCATATCTGATCCTCTTCCTCCCTCACTACAACCTTTCAATGACCATCTAGTGCCCACGGCTTAAAACTCAAATCCTCACAAGCTCCCTCACATGCTTCTTGGACTAATTCAGGGTTGAAAAACATACTTACACGTGTGCGTGCAGCTCCCTCTCAGAATGTCATACCAAGCTATCAAACGTAGCCTCCACCTGCCCATCTAATCAGTATCCCTCGTGCCCAGGAACTGAGTGCTGTTCAAGGAATTCACAGTCTCTCACATGGGCCGTGTGCTTGGCTGCTACTGGAGCTTTGGAAATGAAACCTGTTTCCTGAAATGCTGTCCATGACCTTCTCAACCCAGAAGTCCTGAAATATCACCTCTGTGAATTCTTGTCCATTTCTCCCATGGAGAATTAATCCCTCATCCTCATTTCTCTGGGTTCCAATAACATTTTATAAATACCTCCTTTATACATTTATCATGTTTTTCTGTTGTCTCTCTTAACTAGATTGTAAATTCAATAACTAGTAGCCTCAGGACCTACAATAGCAACTCTGATTTAGCAGTTGTTCAAGAAAAGTTTGCTAACAGTACATTAGTACTAATTACATGGTCTTGTTCAATGTGACCATGTGGAGAATTTGGGGGTGCAATTCCTTATCCTTTGCTCTCAGCATTTTCCCTCTAAATCTCAGGGCCAATTTTTCACTTGGTTGTTGAAAGCCTGGTTTTGCACATGCAACTCCAGGAGTCTGTTTCCAACACATTTCCCCTGCAATTCCTTTCTGACGCTCTGCTCACACTTTAGGCTTACTACCATCAAGTCTGTGTCACTTACTCAATCTCACCACCCTCCAGCAAGTGCTTCTCAATCCTTCTTACAGCTACTCTATCTCCAGGTGAGTAAAGTCCGCTCGCCCACCTTCCTTCAGCCCAGAATGGGAGAGAGACTTCAGGTCTTACATCTTCTTGGAGATCCTTTCCCTGCAGCATCAGTTTCCCAGTCACTGCTCGTATGTCATGTCTATAAGAAGGTCTATACATCAAATGTAACCCTAGGGGTAGAGGGAATATCCTTGGGGAAAAATGACTGGACTGGGCTCAGGAAGCAGGGCTGGGCTGATTGCCACTGGGACTAGGGTCCCTGTCTTCTGGCCTTGGTTCCCCAAACATATTACAGTATCCTCTTCAGATGTAAAAACCTGGTTAGGAAAGCAGAATATTTGCGGACGACCAAGGAGTATTTGGTGGAAAAAGAAAAAATCCAAAGGGCAAGGACTTTTACTGAAAATATTTGACAATGTTAAAAGGGAGACCTCTTCCAAGATACACTGTGAGGAAACAGACAGAGAGGCAGGGAGCAGAGAAGAATGTGATTGTTCCAGAGTTAAGATTATAGTGTTGACCATTCATCACAGATATTCATCCATAGTTGGGGGACGCTCTAAGTTTTCCCTTGTGGTTGTGGGAGACGCTGAGTTTCAAATCCCTTCCATTTCTCCTGCCTTGACTTGGAGTCAGAGGAACCAAGCTCCTGGCCACGCTCTGCTACTCACTTGCTGTTCATCATTGAGCAAGTCACTTCTCTCTCAGTTTTCTCATTTGTAAAACTGTTTAATGTAATAATATAACTGTCAGTTTTGTAAGAATGAGATAAAAGTGTGAAAGTGCTTAGCACAATACCCGACACAGGACTAGGTCCATAGAAATGCTACCTTAATCTCAATTGCCACACCCCATTAAGGCTTTCCTCCAACTGTCAGGTGGGAAAACAGAAGTTCAGAGAGATTTGTCATGGAAAGTCAAACTATTTTAAGTTCACTTCCTGCTGCAAATCACTAGGCGCTTGCTTAATCTCTTCATGGCTGCCTGCACCTCCTGGTTCCTCAGGGTGTAGATCATGGGGTTGAGCATGGGGGTCAAGACCGTGTAGCTGATGGACACAGCCTTGTCCATGGGGAAGGGAGTGAAGGGCCGGGAGTAGACATAGATACAGGGAACGAAGATCATAGACACGACGATGATGTGGGTGGTGCAGGTGGAAGCTGCCTTCCTCCTCGCCTGGCCTGAGTGGGACCTGAGCATCATCAGGATGA